CGGCTTGGTTTGATGTTTGGCTCCCACCCACCCCATCCATGATAAATTCCTCACCATGTGGTTGGGTAATACCATGGATATACCTACTTATGATCTTGGTGTTAGTGTAATTAGTTTAGTCCACAGCATTACAATTGATAAAGATCTCAATTTCACTGAGCATTTTGAGGCCTACTTTGGAGCCTTAAGTCGCGGTAACGTTAGGCGACTTTGGGTGATTTAAGGCGACTTAAGAAAATTGGTAGAAAAAACGTTGAGACTTAAGGCTATTTAAGGTCCCAGAGTAGGCCTATTTTGCGGACACTAGTACGCAGAGTTAGCAATTAGATACAGGTCATGCAAAGGCACAAGAAACTAATTGACACTGACACCAAAACCAAATTATACAATGCCTATCTTTTACCACATTTATATCATTTATATTACATTTATATTGACTAAAGTGATAAAATCAAAGTTAGCAACAGTCTCTCCATAGAATTTAAAAATATTTACAGAATCCCTTGCAATAAACACAATACAATTAGTGTGGGGTGAATGGGGTCAATTGGGAAGGGGGGAACCCTTATAACATTTCGTAACCAAGAGCGACTTAAGGCAACTTAAGGCGACTTTAGGCAACTTTACACAACCTCAGGCAACTTAAGGCAACTTAAGGTCCCACAATAGGCCTATGTTTCGGACACTAGTACGCAGAGTTAGCAATTAGATACAGGTCATGCAAAGGCATAAGAAACTATTTGGCACTGACACTGAGACTAATTTATACAATGCCTATCTTTTGCCACATTTATATCATTGCTGTGTCATGTGGCACCATTACGGTCAACGTAATTTAAAGAAGTTGGAGAAAATTAATGAACGTAGCCTACAGAAAAAGCTTTAGCTACAATGGCGCCACATTATGGAACAGTTTACCACGCGATATAAGGAACACAGAGTCTCTGGGATTATTTAAACGTAAGATCAATGACAATCTTTAAGTCTAACGCACGGCATTCACGGAAAACAGCTTCAGTGTTGTAGTATGTAGTTTTAATTTTAAATATCTTAGCGTATGTGATGTGTATTTTTATAGGCTGATGAATTGATCGTGTCTAAATAAAGATTACAATACAATACAATTCGTTTTTAATGAAAATGACAGTGATTATATACAACTACTTAATCGAGCGGGACAACCATCACTATTTAATGGGCGTGTACATTATATCCTTACATTAGCATACAAAATTTCTTAATGGGCTGGCACCGGAATATATTACCAATATGTTTAGTGGAAAAACTCGCAGCATTAATCTACGTACTAGTGGTACACATTCTCTTTTTATCCCTCATATCAATACTACTACATATGGCCTACATTCTTTATCCTACTGTGGTAGCAAACTATGGAACTCCCTCCCCAACAGGATCAGGTCACTGCCAACAGTTGCAGCTTTCAAATCGGCTATTCATAATTTAGAATTTGATATTGACTGCTGTCCATTCTGTAAATAGTTGTTATTGTTTATCCTATTGTATCAATTACTGAATTGTATATATTGTGACTTATGTATTTATCTTATTCACCACAACTATTTCATTTTATTTATTTATTTATTTATTTATTTTCTCAGAGATGTTAGCATTTTTTTTTGGCTATTTTAAATTCGAGATGAAATAAAGGCGTGTTGTTGTTGTATCACGTGACTTACCAATTACTTATTTCAATGACGTCACAATATCGGTTTCGGTATCGATATCGATATGGAAGAAAAACGTAAATATCGCACTCGGTATCATATCGATTCACAAAAGCCGTATCGGCCCATCCTTACCAAATGCGCTCGCTCAAACCAAAGCATAATATAATGTATGTGGCGTGTTTTTGGCCAGCCAATAGGAACGTTTGTTTACTTTTTTGTGCGTTGTGAGAGTTTTGCACTCTAAAAAGCTTCTTCGCACACATCCTTATTGTCGCTCTGTTGTAAAAGAATTTGTTCATGCTTTGAGTCGTGCGTACATCGAGTTATTATGCACGCGGGAAGTTTGGAGGGCCCTCAAATAGCTAGAGTAGCTCGAGGCTACGCATCGAGCTACTTTTACGCAGTTTTCGTGCTCTCCAAACTTCCCGCGTGCATCCATGACTCAATATACGCACGCTAAGCATGAACAAATTCTTAATCGTTAATCATAGGTTAGGACCAAAGGAAATTTGTGCTAGCTGTTTGGTTGGTTTTAATCTTAACAGAACTAAATCCCCAAATTGTAATATAATTGCCTCTCTAATCTAATTCATAACAGAGCGGTCATTTTGTTTGATTGTTACTTGGGCACAAGCTTCTAAAATCTGTCACATTCGGTTGTCACGCCATCTATTTCACACTCAATAAGGCTCTGGTGCGAGCTGGCTTTGGGAGTGCGTAAGTGCAAGAAAACATGGCTTCCCTCCTTGTAGCGTTTCGCAAGCGCTGCGGTCCTTTCCTGGCTTTCCTTTTGTTAGTTACCTTTCTACTCGTTTGTCATGTTATTTATCACGTGAGAGATAAGCATAGAAGAGAAATAAGATTCCTGACGTACAACATTTGGAATTCGCCTTTCAAGATGCGAGAGAGGATGGAAGCACTCGGGGAAATTGTACAGAAGATCGAGCCAGATGTTATCACATTTCAAGAAATCACGCTAGACAACCTGCAAGTTCTGAGAGAACAGCTCTGGTTTTCTCGCTACCACCTTATTCCGCAAGGCGTTTTGAGATCCGATGGAAAACATTTTGTCATTATTTTGAGTGTTTTTCCTGTTGACAAATGGTTAGTTCATCCATTCTCAAATTATAACGATTCTACAACGGACCGAGGACTTGTTTTAGCAGAAGTAAGGAACACTATTCCTTCTTCAGATGTTATTTTTGGCTTTGCAGGAACACATTTGGCATATCATCACTTGGAATCTATTGAACGCGAACAACAGTTGAAAGAATCATTTCACATTATCTCTGCTTACGATAACGTTTGTGTCATGGGAGATTTGAACATCAAGGATGATATCGATGGCGAAGTTGTGCTGCCACCGGCTTGGTTTGATGTTTGGCTATCGATTTCCGGAAATTCCAACAAAGCTGGGTTCACGTACGATCGGGATAAAATTTCAATAATGAAAGATCAGCCAGTCAATGCAAAGCCGCGCAAGGTGCGCTGTGATCGTGTCCTTTGCAAGCTGTTGGATTTCAAGGTTAAAGAAATGAGAATTGTTGGCGATGAGGTGACAAGAACTGGTGTACTTGCTAGTGATCATTTCGGTCTATTTGTAGTCATTGAACACATTGAGAAACCTGGACATGAAAAGCAGAAACAAACATCACAAACTGTGAATCAAGTTTATTTTAAGAGACCAAAAGGCTGGGAAAAATTAATGGGGTAAGTGAAAATTGAGGCTGGTACCTTCATGTTGCCTGTCGTTCAATTTTCTGTCATTATATTTGTATTATAAGGAGTATGTTAAAAATAATCTAAAATATTGTTAGAGCCTCTAGTCTGTAGGGATTATTTCCAGAATTAACACTGTAGGTATCAGTTATTTAAAGCATGGTTATTTAATTCATCACTGATACTGTCATACTGCTTGTTAAATGCAACTGAGGAAAAGAAACAGATGCATAGATTAAAATAATATATCTTACACCGTTTTTTTTTTTCTTAATTCTTAATTTAGTTCTATTTTACTCGGGTTTGCTGCGCATGGAACAAATTAGCTCTCAGCATTAGGGAACCTAACACCTTACCAGCCTATTGTGAAAAAGTGTTTAATTATTCTTAGGTTAAGTTCAGTGCCGATTTCTTATTGCAAGAAATTGCTGAATTTTTTTATGATAACCTCAGTGCCAATTTTTATCATAATATTCTTATCTCTTTTTTGTGTTTAGAGTAGTATTTTTAACTAACAATTTTTTAACTTGGTAGATAATCAAGGCAGCTTATAGATTGTAGGGAATCTTGTATTCTGTTTTAAGCTGTTCTGAAATGGATTATATTGACATATGCAATGTGACTAAATTGTAATTTGTATTAAAGATTGGAATTTGTGAAGGTGTAGTCTGATCGTCGGGGTGAGTGTAGTCCTGAGAAGGACTGTTGTCGGTGGTAGTGACTGACCTTTCGACAACCTGTGCGGAAGTCATCATCAGAGTCAACTGAATGATTGTTGTCAGTAGAATGACAACTGATAACTTCACATGTTGCCCCCAGTTCAAGCCATTTACTGCATTTGAATTTGTACAAGTCTGGAGAGGACTATAAAGGACCACAGAGGAATTTTAAACAATATTCTCTACTTCTGCTTTCTGTCCTTTAGGCTGCTGAGAGGGGCACAGAATGTGTGTCCAACTGTCCACCCCTTCCTCAGATGCTCTTCCTAGTCCGTTGCTTGTTTCATTTTTTAGGAAATCTCATACAAGGCACCCACATTACATACATACCTACATATGTTAGTTGACCACCATGGGGGCTTTTCAGGGCCAATTCCCACCCATCCCAGCCCATGGGAGGACATCCACTACACAGTAATCTAGTGCGTGGGAAATTAACGTCTCCTACCCCTAACCCTGCAGGAGACGGGGCCTACGGTTTGTTCGTCCTTATCCAAGAAGACTAGAATATCTATCCATTTCTTGATTATAGAAAGGTAGCAAATTCTCCTCACTTATTTTATTCACATTCATCTCAAGGGACACAAAATAAGTTTTAAATGAAAAATACTTTGCCTACCTGGCTCTCAGTTGGTAAAGACACCAAAGAAATTGTGGAATTCCCAGACAGCTGCACCCTTTTTTCCATTTTATTGTCTTATTTAGTTGTTTGTTTGTTTTTTTTTTATTGTTTTTTTTTTATTTTTTATTTTATTGAACAAAAAAAAACACAATAAGTATTTTTTCAGTTTATTGCCATCATTTGAGAGACACCTGTATTAAGCTTAAATGCAGCTTTCTATATGTTAAAACAATATTTTCATCTCCTCTTCCATTTGTGTCCTCCCTGACATAATGTAACAGGCCACTCTTGTTTATTAGGTGAAAGAAACAGAATGAAGCTGAAGTGGCCAGCTTAAAAGTGAAAGTGAATCCATGATTGTTTAAAAGTGTTTCAACGATATTTCTGTGTGGCACCTTACATACATACATACGTTAGTTGACCACTCCCCATGGGGGCTTTTCAGGGCCAGTTCCCACCCATCCCAGCCCAGGGGATGACATCCACAACACAGTAATCTAGTGCGTGGGAAATTAACGTCTCCAACCCCTAACTCTGCAGGAGACAGGGCCTACGGTTTATTCGTCCTTATCCGAGAAGACTAGAATATCTATCCATTTGTTGATTATAGAAAGGTAGCAAATTCTCCTTACTTATTTAAGACCATGAGTATCGGTCCGGCCGGGACAACACCTTAGGAGTTGGGAGGGAAGATGAAGAATTCTTAGCTCTGAAACAAGCTAAAAATTTGTTATCCCGACACCAGTCTTCCCTATGTTATTCTCCATCGTCACAGCTCTAATGCTATGAGAATAAACATCTGCAGCTGTTTTCATCTCTGAACGAAGCATAGTGATCTTGTGGGAACCTGCAAGTTTTCTACCCTCAGTTGTACCAGTTGTAGTCCGCGGGGAAACATAAAGTCCCTCTTTTTGTACAATCGATATGAGTTTGAGGTAAGCGACCCGTTTTTTGTTCGATCGAAGTTCGTTTTTGTTGCGTCTTTGAAGTGGCGATGATTGACTGTATGGTTAGTTCATAGGTGATAAAAGAGCTTTTGCTGTAATAGTTTTCTTTCCGAGTGTGATAGTTCAGTCCTGAATTTACGAGAAATGACTTTTAAAGTCAGGGGCGTGATATAGTCCTTGCAATTGGCTGAAAGATCGAATTTTAAAAACCGGCCAAATGGGCGACATCGAGAATGAAATGAATGTATTAAGTAGGTTCTGGTTTCATATATAAGTGCATGCTCCTTATAATGTACTGGTGAAAAAGGCGCTCCGTTTTGTGTTAAGGTTTATTTAACAACGGCAAACAAAATCACAACTCTCAACAATGCAGGCATTACAAGGACGTATCTGGAGTAATAAATATGAGTTGCAAACTACTATGCTTGCTTACTGAAGAAAAACCTCGAGCGAGAAAAGCACTGAGAAAGGTTTACTAGTTCTAAAGTATGGCACTTCTGTATGGTCCTGTGTGCCAGGGAGTCTCTGATGTATCGAGTATTGAAGCGCAGTATCCGTTATAAGTCGGGCACTCGTGTTTGGTTATCATTGGATGACGCGCCATTGCGGACAAAAATACTTGTGTGAATTTATATACGACTTGTGCTTTTTAAATACAACTTCGTGTTTCCCACTTACAGCGTTTTGGTCGAGTGGTTCTCTTGCAGCAACTGTCCAGAGAAACCTACGGAAAAGGAAAATGTATGCTCCTAAGAATTAAATGCACTAGGACACCAACTCAATTTGAAAGGCACTTTTTCTAACCACGAAAGTTGTAAAAGTGGGCAACTTTTAAGCGCTCTTATCGCTAATACAGAGCTAACTGGACAAAATGTCAGTTATTTTCGAACTCCTGAGGAAAAAGTCTTCGAATTAGATAAACCTTTTCTAGACCGCACTTTGTGATGAAATTTTGTGGGCCGAGGCCAGGAACGTGTTCGATAATTGAGTCAGTTTGCTAGACATAACGTCTCGTAGTCACGTTCGACGCACTAAAAACTACTATAAAACGAATACAAGAATTGTAAAAACGTGTAAAATGGTATATAAAAGTCACTTGTAAAAATGTAGCGGAATTCCAAATCGATTTCGATCAATTACGATCCTCATCAGTAGTACTCCGCCATGTTTAAAATACTCATAAATAATTGTTCATATAAGTGACTCTGAAATGTCCACACTTCTTCCAGGCTTCATGTAAGCGGTCATGATGTATCAATCACAGCTCGTGGGATTTGAAAAAAGTTCCATTCGTTCTTGGAGTTCATAAGCGAGTCTTCGTTCACATTATTTATCCTCACTCCTTCAGTTATTTGTCTCAGCATCGCGTCATTGTGATAAACCCCCGTCACATCCATTCGGAACTGCTTTACCTCTCTATTGTGTTTCTCTTTACAGTGTTTCCACAATGCAGATCGTTCTTCCTTATTGTTAAGTGATTTCGTATGCTCTTTCCCTCTGGTATACGCGCTCCTGGCTGTTTCCCCTACGTATACGCTGTTACACTGGATACACTTAATCTCATACGTCACACTTTCTCTATCACACGGTCCTTTTCCACCTGTGCTACACACTGGGCAGTCTTCTCGTCCACACTGTCGCGGTTTAAATGGGTCGGACTTTTGGAGTAGTCGTTTAATGGCGATTCCGGCTTTCTCCACCACTTTAATATTGAAACCTTGCTGCTTTATTTCTGTCTGGTATTCCTTCCGTAACCGTGAGTTGGGCGTAGCTGGTACAAAAATTACTGATTCATTCCCGCCGCGTTTGTACCAGTTGGATTTCCTTTCGCTCTTTTCCTTTTCTCGTTCCACCTTTCTCCACTCCTTGGGTCGATGTAACGGTCTTTCTCCTTTTCGCTCAGCTCTTTGTCTCGCTCTAAAAGCTTTGAGGGCCGAATCTACAACCTCATATCTGAATTTCTTGCTGTACCCCGAGTATTGCATTCTCAGGACCATCTCGTTAACATTCTCTACTACTCGTTCCCATGGTAACAATCTGCTACAGTTAAGTAAGACCCGAAGGACTTCTTGGGTCAGGACTGTTCTCTTTGTACTCCAGCTTACGGCAGACCTAGCATGTATGACTGTCTTAGAAGCCATGCTCTTGGAATAAAACTCATACATGATCACTGAGGCTGAGGCTTTCTCGTCCTGCCTGTCTGTCTCTTCCCCTTTTGTTTCCATCCACACCTTCAAGTCAAGGATAGGTAGCTTTCCGTCCTGGTGTTTAGAGGGGTANTGGGATGAAAAATTTGCAACAAGGCTGAATGAATTGGCCATCGTTATGAAAATGAACAAACGGTACGTGGATGACATCAACATGGCTGTGCAAGCAACACCAGTTGGGATGAGGTACAAGGATGGAAAAACTCACATGGATGAGAGATCCGTAGCTGAGGATCAAGGAATCAGTGACGATGAGAGGACTATGACATTGATAAAACAGATAGGAAACGACATACACCCGTCAATACAACTCGAAATAGATTACCCCTCTAAACACCAGGACGGAAAGCTACCTATCCTTGACTTGAAGGTGTGGATGGAAACAAAAGGGGAAGAGACAGACAGGCAGGACGAGAAAGCCTCAGCCTCAGTGATCATGTATGAGTTTTATTCCAAGAGCATGGCTTCTAAGACAGTCATACATGCTAGGTCTGCCGTAAGCTGGAGTACAAAGAGAACAGTCCTGACCCAAGAAGTCCTTCGGGTCTTACTTAACTGTAGCAGATTGTTACCATGGGAACGAGTAGTAGAGAATGTTAACGAGATGGTCCTGAGAATGCAATACTCGGGGTACAGCAAGAAATTCAGATATGAGGTTGTAGATTCGGCCCTCAAAGCTTTTAGAGCGAGACAAAGAGCTGAGCGAAAAGGAGAAAGACCGTTACATCGACCCAAGGAGTGGAGAAAGGTGGAACGAGAAAAGGAAAAGAGCGAAAGGAAATCCAACTGGTACAAACGCGGCGGGAATGAATCAGTAATTTTTGTACCAGCTACGCCCAACTCACGGTTACGGAAGGAATACCAGACAGAAATAAAGCAGCAAGGTTTCAATATTAAAGTGGTGGAGAAAGCCGGAATCGCCATTAAACGACTACTCCAAAAGTCCGACCCATTTAAACCGCGACAGTGTGGACGAGAAGACTGCCCAGTGTGTAGCACAGGTGGAAAAGGACCGTGTGATAGAGAAAGTGTGACGTATGAGATTAAGTGTATCCAGTGTAACAGCGTATACGTAGGGGAAACAGCCAGGAGCGCGTATACCAGAGGGAAAGAGCATACGAAATCACTTAACAATAAGGAAGAACGATCTGCATTGTGGAAACACTGTAAAGAGAAACACAATAGAGAGGTAAAGCAGTTCCGAATGGATGTGACGGGGGTTTATCACAATGACGCGATGCTGAGACAAATAACTGAAGGAGTGAGGATAAATAATGTGAACGAAGACTCGCTTATGAACTCCAAGAACGAATGGAACTTTTTTCAAATCCCACGAGCTGTGATTGATACATCATGACCGCTTACATGAAGCCTGGAAGAAGTGTGGACATTTCAGAGTCACTTATATGAACAATTATTTATGAGTATTTTAAACATGGCGGAGTACTACTGATGAGGATCGTAATTGATCGAAATCGATTTGGAATTCCGCTACATTTTTACAAGTGACTTTTATATACCATTTTACACGTTTTTACAATTCTTGTATTCGTTTTATAGTAGTTTTTAGTGCGTCGAACGTGACTACGAGACGTTATGTCTAGCAAACTGACTCAAGACCGCACTTTCTCTTAAGTTATATCTCGTCATGCCATAGAAATGCAGCCAATCAGACGCTGTTGCATTTTCCACAGTAGTCTACGTTGGGCAGTGGGTTCCAGGAATGTACCTGGCAATCCTCGCAGATTCAACTTTTTCCTCTAACAATAAAAGAATGGTAAACTTTCTCGTTTAGTGTGCCCGCTCGTTCGTTGAATTCTTCACCACTCATGATTAGAACTTGAACTTGATAAATGAATGAATGATAAAAAGTCATTGTAAATAACATAAGATATCCCTTTTCAGGCTAATCTTTAACGTCCCCCTCCCCTCTCCTCTCCTCCAACCAAGTAACAACTAGTACCCTCCCCTCCGTCCTAGTACTCTCCCCCTCCCCTCTCCTCCAACCAAGTAACAACTAGTACCTTTAAGTCAAGAGAAAGTACTGAGGTCTTTTTGTCCTAGCCGAGTACGACTAGTTTACAGAGCTCGTGAAGAGAAAATTATGATCAGTAGCCCTTTATCAGTTTTATTTGCCAGGGATGTTTGGTGTTCACGTTTTATGAAAGGAGGGACATTAGATGACGAAAACATGACATACCTGGCGGAGCGTTGCTGACCCGCACTTAGAAGGGCAAGAGGTAAAGCAAGATAAATAGGAAACACAAGCTAAGCAATAAAATAAGTAGTAAAAACGATTGAACAACCAAGAGACGCCAGGGAAGATCATAACGAAGCATATGAGTCATTTAGAGCAACAAATGTATGAATAATTATGGGTGAGTGAGTAATTTACTTTAATTTTTTTGGTTTCTTTCACTCGACTGTTCTGGGTTTGTAGCGAGGTGTAGTCACTTCTGATGTTAATCGCGACGGTTCGACTGAATGCTGCTAGTCTTGTTTAGTACTGGGTTAGTTTATCACATGTTTATCGCTAAATTTTCGTAAAGGAGTGGTTCTAAAATTCTGTCAGTAATGAGATGTATTTGGAAGTTCATTACATACAGTCACATGTTACGTTGCATCTATCAGTTTTAACTGATAGATGTATCAAATGCATTAAAATGTATGTAAAGTGTTTTTTACGCAGTAAAGGAGGAGTTTAAAACTGCATAACCACGAAAATGACTGAAACTGAAAGAGTAGACAAATAAGTACGTAAAAAAGATAAGGACTGTCATTTACACTCGCAAGGAATTGTGAATCCCGGATTTGAAGCAAACTTTGATTTGTTTATATTTATTGATGTGGTCGAATATCGGCCCTTTAACGAAGTACTATTAAGGAATTAAAACATACTTTTCCTATTATCATTAAACAAGGTTTGAATAATGATAAAGGGTCCTTCAAAAGGAAGATGAATTGTTCAGAAACAACAAACAATTGCAGTGTATGTTCATGAGGCTAGAGAGTTATTGATGAATACTAAAAAATGTTGATGAGAACACATAAGTGACTGTAAGCTCCTGAATGCATCTTATTAGCTAACAAAATTTAAGAACCACTGCTCTAGGAAATTTAGCAATAAACAGGTAGTAAGATATCAATTGTACACATTTTTCGTTTTTAAAATCTCTCCAAATGATAATAATATAGGGTAATTGTGAAGAAGAGCTCCCCAAAAAACCTGTCGGCCGACAGTCGGCCGACAGACGACCAACTGTCGGCCGACTGTCGGCCGACAGTCGGCCGACAGGTTTTTTGTTCTTAGATTGTCTGGTGTGTTGTAAATTACGCAAGTGATATATCCTATACGCATCTGATAACATTTTGGAAGAAACGTTTCTTTACATACTACCAACTTTGCCGTCGATCGGTAAGTAGGTGAAGTCTGTCGAGTCATACATCACCATTACGGATTGTTATGTCACGTTAACTGTTCGTTTTTTACACAATTTTTCTTTTTTCTTAACCTGTCGGTAGACTGTCGGCCGCCTGTCGGTCAACTGTCGGCCGACAGTCGGCCGACAGTCGGCCGACAGGTTTTTTGGGGAGCTCTTCTTCACAATTACCTAATATAGGGTTTGTTGGGACTATTTATTTTCTCATTCAGCATAAGAATCTATTTGCGACTTTCCACTCACAGATGATACCAAAAAGGCATTTATTGACCGGTTTGTGCAATCAGTACTCCACCATGGTCCATCTCTGATTACTTTAACAAGAGATGAACAAGGTGACGGGCAAGGTTCAGTCACGGAGTTCCTTCATCCCAGTGCAGAGAACAGTTCTGCCTTGAATTACTTCAAGAACAGGCTTCATGTGAGTGTCAGGTTTATTAAGAGGGTAGGGTGGAAGGTTGTGTTCCATGAGAAGTTTCTTCCTCTAACACTTCAAGCTCAAAGAGTGATTATAACATAACCAAAGCAAAGCACGCACTCTGATTGGTCAATTTAGTGTCCCCCATTTGCCCATGGGTGTACACTGCTGACGTGAGCAAATACAAAGACTATTTTTCCACACGCGCTTGTTTTTTCTGGCCACATAAGATTTGTTCTTAAAAGGGAACTCTTTAGCTACAATGTATCAATGTTATGTTATAAAACAAATGGTAAACACCACAGCGTACACTATTGAGTTATGGATGCACTTGGGAGGTTTGCTAAGCAATCAGGAAGCTAGAGTCGCTCTCGGCTATCGCCTCAAGTGACTCTTACGCTTCTTTTGTGCTTAGCAACCTCCCACATGCATCCATAACTCAATAGTGTAAACTGTGGTGTTTACCATTTGTTAATTAGCATCTTATTACACGACTCGGACAGTCAGAGGGCCAATAACTAAAATCAACTAATCAAAATGCTCTATTGCCGGTCAATATTCTCTTAGTATTGGACCGGGCACTGTCCCGAATGGTCCCGAATGATACCGCACGTGTTTCCCTTTGAACTTGAGTCATATAATAAATCTCTTACTAACCAAGCTTACTTGGGACCGTACTGGAAGAATATCGGCCCTTGGTCTTTTTTGTACGGACCGAGCGCAGCGAGGTCCATACTGTCAAGACCTCAGGCCGATATTCTCCCAGTACGGCCCTCATGCTTGGTTAATAAGATATATTTATTTCTCACAACACTATCATCCTTAAGACAAACATCATGGTCGTGAGATTAACATTTTAACTCCCAGAAGTGATTAATATGTAACTTCTCCCTATAATATCCATACATTATCCAGATACAGGTAATGAGAATACTCAAACTTATCAGGTAGAAGTTATCATCTTGATTTAATACCACATCCTCATAACTTATGTACAAGAAAATGTATAGCAGCTAGAGAGAAGAATTAGCAACCAGATTGTGGTAGTTGAAGGGTTAAACAATCACAAACTGAAAAGAAGCTCTTGATTGTTGGACAAATTTCTTATTGTAACTACTACAGGAAATGTATAATGAACAGCGTAGAGTACTTGCATTCTAATGTTAGTGTATAGAGGGTTAACAAAATACCAGTTTGATTTGGATAGAATTGATAGGGAAGGGATAAGAGTGTGAAATCTGGATATCAGTTGTGTGATTCAAGTGAAGCAACAAGACTCTGTAATGACTGGTAGAACATCAAGTTTTATGTAGTGTATGCTTTTTAAAGTTTGTAGATATCCTAGAACATGATGAATTCTCACTGGAATTTTGAGATTGTTATTGAGTTTTTACTGGTAAATCTGTGAAGCCTTGGGGTTAGAGATTTAAACTACAGTGGAACCTCAATTTAACAAAGTGTCAAGGGACTGGGGAAGTTGGTTCGTTATATTGAGGGGTTTATTATGTTGAAAACCTTGATTTAATGAATTTGTGGAAATTCAACCAAACTGTTTGTTACATTGAGGTGTGGTTAATAATTGTTCTTAGAGATGTGTGTGTGTGTGTGTGTGTGTGTGTGTGTGCGTGCGTGTGCGTGTGTGTGTGTGTGTGTGTGTGTGTGTGTGAGAGGTTGTGCTTTAGGCATATAGAAGCTACAGTTCACTTTGCAGGTCTGTATGTGACTTGTGTAAAACACCTGAAACTGAACAGGTTACAATTGCCACTGGCTTGTCAAATGTCATACTGAAAAGTTTAATAAATAGCACAACTGAACAGAAACTTTGAACAAAGGAAAACACTTTACTTTACTACTAAAATTGCTAATCAGGACGCCCAATCAAAGATTCTTCCAATGAAAATTGTCTTATATTTTGTCTTTTGTTAATATACACCTTTCATTCAAGAGAAAGAGCGTGGAAATTCCCTTTTTTTGTGCCTGAATTGTCAAATGTCGTAATGAACATGAACAGTGTGTACAGTAGTAAACAACAGAACACTACTCCGTAGTACTGCATGGTGGTGGGTTTCACATTTGTCTTCAGGGTCAGGTGTTGGCAGTTGTTTGTTATAACGGGGTATCTGTATATGTTTGGGCTTCTGGATTGTGTTCATTCTAACGAGGATTACATTATATCAAGGTTCTGTGGCATACATTTAACTGTAAAATTAGCCAGGCTGAAAAGTATTGTTCATTATACCAAGGACTTCATTATATGGAAGTTCATTAAATTGAGGTTCCTCCGTATACTTTAATTAATTAGCTAAGTTAATAGTCAATGAATTATTAATTAATCAACTATAATTTACTGCCCTGTAAATAACTTAATAACCCTGGCATGCCAAGGTTAATTTAACCATTAAGTCTTTTAATAACCACTGTCAGCTGTTTATTATTTTTTTTTTTGCTTTCAGGTAAGCACTCCCATGGATGAAAAAAGTAAATTATTGGAAGTAGTCAGTGAAACACAACAGAAGTCTGAGTATAAGGGCATACATTGTATATCAGATAGTGAACAAGAAATGAAACGGTGAATATAATACTATTGTTTGTGTTTTACTGATAATGTATGTTAATTGTAACGATGTGTACTTCATGCTCTGAAAATATACTTTTTGACTTAAGGATTAGCCTTAAAATATTTTCATGATTACAGTAACACTTACTTATGATTACAGTCATACTTTCCCAAAGAAAAGACAGTTGATGACATTTTAAAATATCTTGCATTTGGTGAACATGCTCTTAAAAAACTGTTGAATTTTAAATAAATCTTTAGCTCAACAGAGCAAAATTTCTTTTGTTCAAAAAACCTGGAAATGTCTGAGACTATTTTAAAGTGAAAGACAATCCAATTTGCACTCTGTAATCATATGCTTCCTTCCCTAATACTCCTATTTCTTTCTGAATGTAAAATTTTTTAAAGCATGTTTGCAAAAAATTTATATTTAAGGAATAGTAATTATTATAAATTAAACTCGTCGCTAATTGATGAGCTTGGGGAAGCTAGTGCCATAAAAGTTAGCAGGGAAGGAGCCTGGGGAATTCCAGGCACCACAGGCAGGTCTCCTGGCAACCTGGCAAGCGGGAACCACCCAGGCAGCGGCTGCTAACAGACACCATCACGCTGAAACTTGTCCAGTGAAGATACTTACCATACCCATTACTTACCTCTGCAGTTGAAAATGCCCTCTGGGAGGGAAGGGTAGGGCTAATGAATCTGCTAAAATTCACTGAAACAGGTAATGATCACAACGATCAATAGCGAGCAAGGCTAGCGTGGTTTGCCCCTGCGAAATCCAGGGGGAACCCCACACAGCATGTGCGAAACCGCTGACCACATTAGCTCGAGGTGAACCTCATCACCTAAATTATATTGAGCCACATCAAGGTGTGCACTGAATTAGTTTGATATTGGCTAGAAAGTTTTTCTTCAAAGAAAGCATTACTTTCCAATCTATGTGATACCTTTAGATGTGAAGACAAAGATAAAGATTTTCACCAGAGAGTAAAAAGATTTATTGCCTCCAAGGCAGACTTGTTGTTCACCTTGGAAGGAAAGGGGAAATTAAGAAGAGGAACTGACTATGGCATGCATTCAAACCAAGAAGGTAATGTTAGCAAAAATGCCTAACACTGAAGGGTTTTTTGGTCAATACACCAAATTGAATACATCATTATATAATCGACTTCATTTTTTCTGGTGGTTTTTGTTGCACTCAGAATTGTCTCACTTTTTCTTACAGGTCCAATTTTGTCTTTCAATCCTTTGATAGATAACCTTACCCTGTTTATGAAAGGTTTTTTTTTTTTGCATTCTCAGTATTATCTCACCTAGCCTTTTTTTTTTTGTATTCTCAGTAGTATCTAATGTACATGACGATAATCTGTTTCTTTTTTCCTATTCAGTGTTAGATCTCTATGCTGAAACACCTCCCCTTGAAACATTAATGGAGGTTCCTTTACTTGTCCGGAGGAAACGGTTGTTCGATGTAAGGACTTATTGTAAATGATTTCATATTTTGATCATACTTCCATCACAAAAGCCTGTTAGGATTATATATCAGTGCTTTCAATAAGATTTGAAATAGGTGGCTACCTCGGTACAGCACCTGCAAGAGAGCAACTTGAGCGTAACTTGAATGCGGTGACCGCAACTTGGGCACGGTGAAATAAACCCGGCGACTCACAACGGAATACCCGCCGGAGCTCCGGCAGGTGCCGGGTCTTATTGAAAACACTGTATATACTATAGAAGGACCTTCTGTAGGAAGGATACCAGACTAGTAAGGATGGAAATTTTTTTTAAGAAGAAAGTTATGTTAAGCATGGTATGAATTCAGGGTTAAGTTACTGCAGTCAAAACACTGGGTTTGTTTGTTTTCTTATGTAGTGTTTGAACGAAGGAGACATTGTCATCGGTAAGGTGGCTTTCAAAAGACCATTTGGCATCACAGTGACACTGACTATGCTGGAGTTTGGTTGTAAAAGAGACTTCACTGATCTTGACATACAGGTATTTGGAAACTGAAGCTGCTACAGAATCGGTCAAAAGACATTATGTTAGCTTTTATGTAGTATATTTATCAGTATCTTGGTAATGAGTGTCATGATTGAAAAAAAAGAAAATCAAAACTGCTCTTTAACTTTCTTATATGTATCCTCAAAGGGTATTGTGGGATGTGGAAAAGGGTCTTATGCACCAAATTTTACCAATAAATCTACCACCCTCTTTAAGGGAGGATTGGCCCTAAAAATTCTGCCCCTTCCCTTTCCCTTTTGACACTACCGTTTTGCCATGAAATACTTCAAATTTTAATAGCCTGCTTGGGAAGTAAGTTCAGCATTATTATATTATTTCCTATTGATTATATAGCCTTAATTTGTACTATCTCTAATATGCTACTCTCAATGTTCCCTCTGATTAATTGAGATTTTTGCTTATACTGTATCTTAAAGTGTCATACTTTCAGAGTGACTCACACCCCTTGTAAAGAAATCTTTTACAGTTGTGTAACATTGCTGCTTTTGTCATCTTAACCCTTTCCACCCTAACATAAGTATGCATATTCTCCATACTGTTCTCTATACATATCCTAAGGTGCTGGCAAGGAGAATTTGTTGAACAATCAAGGGCTTCTCTAGTTGGTGATCTCATGACCTTAATTTGTAATTCAGGGGGTGATATTGGACGGAGAAATTAGCTGTTTGTCATTCCTAGGGTCAAAGGATTATTCTAGTTTCTTTGTACATTTTCACACCCACAGGCCCAGTGTAAAATAACTGAGTTGAATAGTTCAGAAATGACCAGAGAATACAAAGATCCTACTGATGCTTATGTTGTTGGTGATGTTGTTAGAGGTATGTGGTACATGTGGCGGGTACATCTTCCTTTATGGTCTGAGAACTTTACAACCATAATCTTTTGAGCTGTCAGTTCAAAGTAGGGTGGTTAAAGTTAAGAATTCTCCTATCATCTGAGAATGAAATTATACTTTCTGGAAGTACAACTCACTTATCAGCACATTAGTTGGTACATTTATACATATAGAGCTATTTTTATGACTTGGCTTTATTTAGAACCAGTGCTTGCACTTGCCTGTGAACATTAAGTAGTTTTGCCTGCCAGCTTTGCTGACTATAGGTATTTCCAAACTTTAATCTCACTGCAGGGCCAAAAGAACATCGATTAGAAAATTGTTGATGTTACAGATTGGAGAAACAAAACACTTATATTTACACTGCAATTTCATTTCAAGTGTCTCATGAGAGAAAGAGACCTGCACAACTTTATCATCATTGGTCTTTAGTCATTTTAAGAAATGCATGGGATGTGTGCAAGTTACGTTATTGAATAATCACAGCATGTAAGTATTGATTAACCACCACATGAAAAGCACCTCTTTTGCTTTCCAGGAGTAATCACAGGTGTGAATCCACAAGAGGAGAGAGTCTTTGTATCATTGAAACAGTCAAGATTGCCTGAAGAACATAAACACTTACATCTGGTAATGTATTGGTATACCAGTACTTCTCACCATAGGTTTTTATACCAACATATGTTATTGTTTTACAGTGCATAATTACATGTACCTGTGTGGAATATACTCAGTGTGGTATTAATTTTTTAATGTTCTCTTGATTACCAAATATATTTGCATCATCGTGTAAGACCAAGCAATAAGACAAACAGTGATTCCATGATTTTCAACTGCCAGGTCCACATTGGGCCAGATTGTCATCTTGAAGGGGAAATAAATTTTAATTTTACAAATAGGTTTGACTTTGGTTTATTTCCATTTAGGGTGTGATTGACAATCAAGATACAAGTATTCAGAGGTATGTTTGTTTCTTCCACAAGTTGTTTTGGTTTTTCTCTCATCCTATCCTCTAAGGCAAGTAATCGATAAAATAATATTTGAATATGGCCAATTTTGTGTTACTTAAGTTATGCATTTACAGGCATGCTGTTTTCGCTGATCAGTTATATTTAAGATCTAATTAAGACTACTCAGTCTTTGCTGGTGTACTATAGCATTGGGAAATGTTTAAAAGGGCTCTGAACAGTTATCTTTCATCACTTTAGAAGATGGCTACATTTTACTTAGACCTCCCTTGTAAGATTACAGGTGATCAACACAGGTCACAAAGCAAAGAAAACCCAAGCACAATACAAGCAGCAGATTGATTGGAAAAAAAAAAACACTACTAAATAGATCATGGTAAATAAATAGAAGTTGCTCTGTGTTTTTGCAGGATGTGGAGTGATCCAGAAGGATTGGAGTTTGAAGAACATCTGAAAAGGAGCAAAGGTTTTAACAACCCAAGGAATATTGATACACTTGTTGATGTGCTCGGCATTGATACACATGCCCCTTGCTCCCTGTTGAGAGGATTCCAAAGGTGCACATGACATCATTGCTTATTTCAATTTTTTTCAGAGTTATTTGGCTTAAAAAATTTAGAAATGTTGATAATACAAGTTCTGAGGAATTGTTTTTAGAAACAGAGGTACCCATTTTTAACTTGGAATTGTTTTTACAGATATGACTGTCCTAAAGAGGAATATGCAGAACAGCTTAGAAGACAACAATCTGCCAAGTGGTCAATGGACACGTAAGAAATCTATTTTGTTATTACATGGAGCATAAATTTAAATGATTGTAAGTTTTTGTTAAGAATTTCAGCTATCATGTGGTTCACTCTTATGAATAGCCTGTATTACAGGTGCTTATTAAGCCAAGTGCTGTAATACAGGAGACAACAAGTGCAAGTTATGAGATGCAAGCATAGGGCACAAGATGAGGGGAGGAGAAAGGTTATTTTTCTCTTCCCTTGTCTCGCACTTCATACTTGATGTCTCACACTTTGCTTGATTTCTCCCCTCGTCACGCTTGATGTCACCTGCTTCACCCGTGGCTAAATAAGCACCTGTTCTGTAGGTTAATGAAACTGCCGAGCAGTTCTGTCCAGAAAAAAAGAAATTAATGTTACAATTGATTTTCCAATTTTTCTGTTCCAATAAGCAATTATTTTTGTCTTACTTTATTGCTAGGGAATGAAATCTTTTGGTGCTTTACTTTTCTCCTAACCTCAAAGGTCACTACTCGTTTTCTTCTAAGAACATTTGGTGTACAGTCAGTGGAAGGGCATTTAAATTTGTTGCCTTTCAGCACTGCCAAGGGAGTGGAACATTTTAAGGCAGGGAGTTATGACACTGCCTTGAAGCACTTTAAGCATGCACTGCAGATTGATGGTAAAAATGTTGAGGCAATGGTTGCACAAGGAGCTCTGTGAGTCTACAGTTTCTTAGCTTTTACAAGTGTTTTTTTTTTTTTAAATTTTTTTTCTGTTTCTGTGGGTTACTTCACAGCTTGATTTGGGCTGTATTGCATTTTTGTTTTTTGCAATAGCACATTGCATGTCTTCTTGCATATTGCACATGTTTAGCCTAAGTTGCAAACTAAGTTTGAAACTTTACATCAGTTATACATGTTCCTTGTTTTTGTCTCCATTATTTGTCATTCTTGATATTACCGATACTTAGTCACTCATGTATCATTTTATTGTAAATTACAATACTATAGTTAGTTAGAGGCTGTTAAGGTAGACTAGTGAGCAAATATCTCACAAAGCCAAGAATAAATTTTTGATTTATAAATTACCTGTGCTTGCATTAATTTGTACCATGAGCTTTATCATCTGCAATTAATTTTTAGATAAAGTTAATCACTGTCATTTCAGTTTTGCCAACCAAGATCAGCTTACCACTGCTGTTAAGAATTTTAAAGATGCACTGGAAATTTGTCCAAGCCACAGAAATGCCAACAAATATCTCACAGCAACTCTAGTTGAGCTTGGAATACAGTTAGTAGTATAGGTTTTATCCAACTTATTGACATTTGTTTTTATCATGTCGATATTGGTGAAATACTAAAAGTTCTTCTGTTTTAAAACTATGATGTCTTCGCTATGCTAAGTGAATGTGTCATTTTCATCTTTGCACATATTATATGTTAGACATAACTAAGTAACCTTATTGATTGGGTTTATCCGCATAGCAGTTCTACTTTTCACAAAGGTCATTTCTAATTTTCCAATGAATGTAACTGTAAGTTAGATTCAACTTGTTCATTTTGTTTCAATTTTTTTGTTGGAAGTTGAAATAGTCTTTCTGTGAGGTGTGTTTTAATTTATGGAGGTGATCTCTGTATTCTGTACTTTTAAAATTTGTTTCAAAATTGTTTGGTGAATTTATTTTCTTACTTGTCTGGGCCACCCACTTGTGAGCATTATTACCGACACTTAAAAGAAAAACTTTACCCACCAGTGGCCTTGTAACAGCCTCTATTGATTTTGCCTCTTTCACAAGGAAAATAATCTTCAGCTCTGTCTGAGGGTGATCTTAAAACTAAGAAAACATCCTGTATACAGATTACAATGTTCAAGAACTGACCTCAGATAGCTTGGGAATCATACCTAGAAAATGTTTGAATTTGGCTAAGCATAGTTCAAATTCGAAATTCTTGATTAAATACTTTATATTTTTTTTGTTTTTTTTTTCTCTGTAAATATTCAGACAAGAAAAAGAAGGTCTTTTGAGAGAAGCAATGCAGACTTTCAGAGAAGCCCTGGGACTAGATTCTAACCAGCAAACTGCAAAAGAGCATTTGGAAAATTTAAAGCAACAACTTAAGCTAATGGAGCAGGTGGGTCACTTGTCTTTAATAAGAAATGCCTTGTGTAGCTGTTTGCATGCAAGTCAGATTTTGCCATTTTGCCTAAGTGACACTTCATACATTCAGTCTTAATTGAACCTCTTGCTTAAAAGAAAAATATGTACCGACAACACAAATTTGGGCTCAAAGGTTGTGATAATTGTACTCAAATTATCTAGCAGTAGTTAGCAGGGACCAGCAAAAAAAAAAACAGATGGCATAACACTGGTGGTAGTTTTGCAAGGAATAAATGGGGAAGCCCCTTTTACAGAATTTCCCCTCAAAAGTCTGCAAAATGCTTTGTGCTCATCTTCACTAAACAAGAGCCTGGGACAGGCTACAAGTTATCCCTAGTTGCACTTCATTTAACAAGGAGTAGGTAAAGTTTAGGGTTTCTTGTTAAATGTGTAATGCATGTTTCAAATTGTTTGGTTATGATTTTAGTTTAAATACTTGCTAATACAATTTTATTTGTTTTTCTTTCATGTATTGCTGTTGTGGTTCACCATTTGATTGCTGGATGAATTAAATTTCTGATGTGCAACTCTTGTCTTGTCAATTATTCATCTGCTGCAACACTGTTTCTCCACTGGAATGTGCCATTTTTATGGAATGATTTTTAAATTTGTTTTTTTGTCTGTTTCTATTTCATTTGAAATAAAACTATTGAACCATTTCATCCTGTTGCCATTTACTTTAAATATTTCTCTTCTCTGAATGCGATGATTGTTGAACTTGCTATTGCCATATCACTTTAATTACCAAATTATTTGTAATAACTTTTGTTTTTCACTTTATGTCATAATGTTTAAAAATATTTCTACACCTTTTCTTTTTTTGATATTTTTATTTTCTTTGCTGGGTTGTGATTTCTTCATCTTACTTTTTCTCTCTATCTCTGTTTACTTTATTTTATTACTCTATCTCTATTTACCTGTATTTACTCTATATTATAATGTTTAAAACTATTTCTACCCTTATTTTAATATTTTCATTTGCTTTGTTGTGTTGTGATTTTTTGTCCTATTTTTTCTCTCTATCTCTATTTTTTTCACAAATCCTATTAATTTTTTATTTTTTATAACAATTTCCTGCCCTACATGTCAACCTGTTCATGTCCAATCAAACCATTGGTAATGCTCCCTGCATTGTCCTTCTTTGTGGTTCTGTAAATCGCCTGTTTTGACCCTCTATAAAATTCCCTGTGGTGCTAGAAGAAATCACAGGCTGCAGCAAGGGCTGACAAAGGGCTCAAGAGCAGATTCAGTCATGTGCGAGAGCTCATACTAGAAGAACAAACTCAGGCAAGGAAGAAACAAAAAAGAAAACACAGGTATGGCCAGTTCCATGACAGTTGTGCATGACATGGTTTCAGATGGTTTCAAACCAGTTTGATCATCAAACTTGTTTATGAAAAAAAAAAAGGGAAATAAAAAGAAAGGAAAAAAAACCTTGCTGGAGGTTTAAAAAGTTTGAAAGTAAAGAAAAACTTGGAGCAACATCTTGTACATGTATATGCTTCAAATGATACTTTCTTTTCTCTGGGAAGACTGAGACTGTGCCAGGGTATTATGCATATAGTTCAAATGGTTCCAACCACTGGTTTTGAAGTAAAGATATTAAATCATTACCATAAATAGTTTTTAGGTTATTCATTTAACTTTTTTTTTTCTAATCAACAATTAATACTTATCCAATATACTTGTATTTGGGCACAAGTATATTTTTTTCATAGGAGTAAGCCCTACTAAAAAATATTCTGCTATTGTTTCACATTCTATACTTTAGGGAAACATTCTTCTTAGAATGCTTAACTTGTGCTTGAACACTACTTGCTGGCTGTATACACAGTATTGTCCACATCACTTGAGCATATTAATTTTGTTTGTTATGACTGTGTGGGTGCCATACATAACAGTTGGAAAGCAATAGAACGTGTACAAAGTAAGAAATTAATCAGTGTTACAGATGCTAAAGTGTGCAAGACACAGAAGCCTAATGGTCAGTGAGCTGTACTCCAGGTCAAAAGGCGTGGCTGTAAGACCTGGCAAGGTCAATGTGTTTTGTTCCTGGGCAAACCACTTTACTCTTATAGTGCCTCTCTCCTCCTAAGAGTTTAAATCGGTACTAGTGAATTGTCAGGGAAGCCAGATGAAATGCAGGGGGGGAGTCTTGCCATGGACTGGCATCCCACACAGGAGGGGGGATTAGTGATACTTTTAGTTGCTTCATGCTGATGAAACTGGAATGAGCTCTGGCTGGATCAGCCACTCGGCTCATACAAACCTGACTAAATTACAGAATGATGCTAAAGAGCCTCCAATCAGCAAGGCTTCTTATGGGTCTTGAACTTGTGTTTCTGGTCATTTATAATTTTTGTTGTTATTGGTAGAAAGAAGAAAACGGTTAAGCATCAGAAGAAGAAGAAAAAGAAATTAAGAGTGAAAGTTGGACATCATTCGAAGAGATCATCAAACTCGTCATCTCAGAGCTCTAGTGAATCTTTCAGTAGTGAAAGTGAATCTTCAACACAGTCAAGTGGCAGTGATGAATGGGTGGAAAGTACTGCAATTGAAAAGAGAACTAAAGTGGATAGAAAGAAACACAAACATTCTAAAAGACATGAGAGGTTCAATCAGAATGTGAAAGAAAGTCATGTTCTTACTGACAGGTCAAAAAATGACAAATATTCACATGAACTTTATCACTGGACTGATTCTGACTTAAAAAATGTAAACAAGGAACCCAGCTTAAGGCAAAACCAACTGAAAGTTGAAGAAAGAGAAAGAAGAAAAAGCCCTAAGCCTTCAAAGTCACTAGTAAGTTCCAGCATTGACAGAGAGAAGGTAAAAGATGATAAAGAATTAGTGGAAAGTAGGTCTAGAAAAAGAAAAAACAGTGAGCAAGAGTCTTATCAACAAAAAAGTAAGGGTCCATTGTGTTTAAAAAGTGCTCATTTATCAGATATGGATGGTTCTGCGTCATCCAACATCTGCGAGAATTCTATCACAGGAATGCTGAAGAGGATCAGAGAGCATAGTGACAAAAATAACAAGTTGAAGGAAACAAATGTAAGAGAAACCTTACATGTAGGTGCTACTCCAAGTTATAAGTCTGCCACTGTGACTGGTAAGGGAAGTAGAGTGGGAGCTCCCACCTCTAAAAGGGAGAAGAACAACATAGAGAAAGTTGAAGAAGGCTCTGCATGTAAGGTACAAAATGTTACTGTAGCCCATTTTCCTGACTCTACAGGTGGCTACAGAGATGCTGGTAGTTCAAGTGCAAGCACTAAAACAAAATTTCTCCATGCACAAAATCAGCACAGTGAGTTCATGAGGGACAGAAAATCATCACTAGTTACTTATGACACAAGTTCTGATGAAGAACAACTCGTGTCATACAGTTAATAGTCAATCTAGAATATTGTATTTGGTTATTATTTCAAGTAGACCAGGCAATGAAACATATAGTAAGCCACCTAAATTTTAAATATTACCAATCATGTCAAACTTTATTGAGGAGCCTCAAAATTAGGTGGCTACTTATCACCTTGTATGAAGATTTTCATAGCTTTGAGTGGGCCAGTTTTAATTGAGGGGGAAAGAAAATATCTGGAAAGATAAAATTTTTATAGGGACTTTTCACCCCAACCCCACTTCCCCCTTACCCAGCCTTAAGTTGCCTAATGAACCCCTTCTCCATTGTTACACAATTCCAACTAACCCACTCCCCTTTCCCGTCAAGTTGAGGCAGTAATTTTGGAATTTGGAATTGTGTAGGTTGAGAGGGGATGGGTATTGATCTTCTCTTCTGTGTTGAATGTACCAATCAATATAAAAAGTTCATTTTTTCTTTGAACCACGACTGAATTTGTCCCTTTTCCATCTAGGAGAATCTGCAACTAAAATCCTGTCATCCCTATTTAACCACTATAAAAATACCTTTGACCACCCAGTTTTTTTCCCCTTTTTATAAGTAATATGATCTCTGTGACACAATTCCTGACTTTGAGAACCACCTTTGTTGTTCTAGTGAAAGTGGTGTACTGATTATAAGAATATTTTGCTGAAGTTATGATAAGAACCTTGGCACAGGCCATTTTATGAATCTATTTCCTGAAAAGAAAAAAAGGGGTCAGAACCAGTATTAGACTGGTTAATCACTGGTAGCTCTAAATAAATATTTTATTTTGATTCATAGTGAGTTTTATTTTATTGAGTGAAAAAGATAAAAACTTCTCACTAACTGAGCGTGAGGGGGCTGTACACAGGAATACTAGGTTATGGCAACACAGGCTGAGCGCAGTGAGGTCCATACAAGAACATCTGAGGACCAATATTCCCCAGTACAGCTCAAGAAAATAAGATTAGTTGGTGGTTTATTATATGGCACTCGCACCACACTTTTTTTTTTTTTAATTTTCCGGCTTTTGCGACTTAAGGTACATGGCTTGACTGTTCAGACGAAAAACTCCATGTGACAAAATATGGACCATGGAAGAGCCAATCAGAATGCTCTGATCTACCTCTGGACTACCTTGCCACATAACAATGCCAATTACCGGTATTTCATGTTTGCACATGAGGAATTAAAATGGACTGGCTATGTTGACATCCTCAGCCATCCCTGTTCCGTCTTTGTTAAGTTATTTTTTAATAAAAAAAACAACTATATTAGTGTAAAGAGTGGTATGTTGCTTGTACCAATCAGATGGCAACAATTGGGTATGTATCACACACCAATCAGATTGCCACATAATGGAATGTATCATGCACCAATCAGATTGCCACATCAAGGTATGACTGGCTATGTTGACATCCTCAGCCATCCTTGTTCCGTCTCTGTTGAGTTATTTTTTAATAAAAAAAACAAACAAATATATTAGTGTAAAAAGTGGTATGTCGCTTGTACCAAACATATTGCTGCATTAGGGTATGTACCACGTACCAATCAGATTGCTGCATTAGACGTGGCATCAATGCGGTTTACTTTTGCTTACAACTATTCAGACACCAGTGGCAATAGACCATAAAATACGTGTCTGAGTTTATTTGAGATAAATTGGAGAGTTTTTTCGTGTTCTCAATTGAACTTTACTTCCACTGATGTCTTTTTAAAGTAGAAGCTCTTTTCCTTTATACAAAAATGCAAACATCAGTCACTATGTGTCCATTTTCAACTCATCCAACCAAAAAAAAAATTACGCCATGCATTATATATTTTGATATGAAATAGATCTTAGGCGTTGTTTCGAGGAAGAGTTATTTAATTACTAAATCATAATGTTGCTATTTCAATACGTTGATCAGATCTAGCTTTTTTGAAACACATAGGCAACAACTTTGCAAAGAAAACAGAACTTTTTGCGTTGCATTTTTGCGTTCTAATAACTAACCTGCGTTCTGTGATTGTCAAGGCCACTAAAAACAACAAATATGGCGCGATTACCTTTCACAAGCACACGACGACACATCTTTTGACTCGAAAGAACTACACGCCATTAGCTAATTTCAGAAAGAAATTAGCGCAAACATACCGATGGGTAACCTCTCTACACCAGTCCTCCTCTTTTCTAGCCCAGTGTACCGTGACAAGTCAGAGCGGCCGTGATTTTTTCACAATTCAAGGAAGCTTTGTGCTTTTGTTTGTTTTTTTGTTTGTCTTTTTCTGTAACTCGGGTGGTTCTGAACCGTATATACAGATCTTTTTTTTACTTTACGGAAATAGAGAGATTTGAAATGGTTACGATTCAGCAAAACTGAATATGAAGCTGCCCTTTATAAAATTAAGATTTTTTCTGTTTCCTTTCGGCCGAGCGGGTCAGGTGTGTGTGCTCTTTGTAATAAAAGGTAGAAACGCAACTCAACGAAAAGTGGTCTCGAACGATTGGGTTTCTTTCAAAATTTTCGTTTCTGTGGTACTTAGTCTCAAACCTTTTTATACAACCCGCTAAACCAATCCTAGGAAAAATCAAAACAAGTCGTGATTGGAGCACTCGGGACGCAGCTGTTACACTACGTAAAATGTTATAAATTTCTCAGCCAATCAGTCTACTGTTCGAACGATTGACGTGCACGCGCGCTCTAACGTCATAAAGGAGTTGTAGGACTTCAATGCAAGATTTGCAAAGAAAGTGCAAAGAGTTGTTTTGATCGTCAGGTTCATTTGGGTTGTATCTATTTGTTACCTCTTTGTGAATTCTTAATCGTCAGAATGGGATGCGCATTTAGCCGCGATAATCGCCGCGTTCCAAGAGTGTTCAGGAGAAAAAAGGTAGGTACCTTTCTTAAGCGGGTAAACGTTTATTGACGCTTGGATAATTTCAAGTATAGATAGAAAGATTAATGGATCGAAGGAAACTTTCTACATGTGTAATGTGTCAAAAACTTGTAGTCCGGGTTTGGAATCTGCAAGTAACATGCAATTTGCTAGACATTACGACCGTTAGATTTTAATGTTTTCTCGTTAGCAGGACTTAATTTGTGTAAAACGTCTTGAACTCTGACTGTTTCCTCTTTCATTGTCCAGACGGCCATCAGCAAAAAGTATGTGCTGTCGTCCTTACAAGATGTTCATAGCAATGAGAACAAGCACTATACCTCCAGCAGCAGCTTTGCCACTCCCCGGACGTTGTCAGTTACGCCAAAAATGTTCACATCGGGATGCTACACTCCTGATGTGGCACCGAGCACTTTGATATGGCTGATGGGTGCTAAAGACCTTCTTGAGGACAGTATTCCTGAACTAGGTGCGTTTTGTACAATTTTCATTTCATTTTCAAGAGTAATCCGGAAATACGCTGGCTTTGTTCCGCTTCGCTCTGTAATTGGCCAAGAAAACTGAGGGCCATCATCTTGGCTAATCAGATTCAAAAGCGGAGCAAATCACAACTTGGTTGCTCTGTTCGCGTTTTCCCGCGCTTGAAGCAGTGCGCTTGTTTTTTGTTTGTTTGTTTGTTTTGTTTTGTTTTGTTTTTTTCAGTTCTAATTGGCTCTTAGTGATGTTTTCTTTCCCTTTTATTGGCCGTTAAGATGATTTTAGTTTCATTCTTACGACAATCAATCAGAAAACGCCCTAGTTTTGATCAAATTTTTTCAGTGGCGGATCCAGACCTTGGATTAAAGAGAGGGAGAGCGATCTTGTTTGTCTGAGTACACCTGTCGGCTTTTCTTCCTTCTGCGTTTACATTTTTACCCGAGATAAGGGGGAAGGCGGGTTCCCCGGGCCCCTCCCCTAGATTCGCCATTGGTTTTGTATAAAGCTGCAGTTAGTAATAAATTTGGATGAAATTTTGAATGCCATCGGTCAACAGATGTTTGTTTTTCTGTACTAGTTACCCACAACAAGCGAGTGGAAAACAACGGGGAAGTTGTAGAAAGGGTCTCTAAAGATACCGAGGAGGAGAAATCTGGTGTACAGAACGAAAGCAAAGGGGACAATGCTACAGTGCTGGAGGAAGAACTTCCATCCTGTCTTCATTACGAAGGTATATCAAAAACAATTTAAAGTGACTTTTTCAATTAGCGGACACTTTTTACGAAAAAGCATTAAAAGAAAAACCAAGGGTTCTTAGTTGAGGAGTCTGCCAAGTAAAAGTTTTGCTCTTTTTTTGTGTGTGTGTGTTTGAGTAGCAATGTATCGAACTTATAAAACACGAAAAATATTTCAAATGGCTTTTGCTTTTTGACAGGCTTTCACGAGAAAGGCTTTCACTGGTTCACATTGTACAGCTCCGTACTGAATGAGACTATTGGCGACTTGAGCCTCAAGTAAGTGCTGGTGTCATTCAGTGGTACTGTGATATCAAGAAAAATTATCATTTTTAATGAGAAAGTAGGCAACTGTGGAGAGAGG